CTCCGCCTCCACTGCGAGTATTCCCTTCGCCACATGCTCCAGGTCTTGCCCGGCGCGTTGAGCGGCGTACCCGCACGGTTTATCCGCGCATGGAGCAGGGTGACGTGGCTGTACATCGAAGCCTACGACGAGGGCCTGGAGGACTACCTCGAGTACCGCGATCTCAAGGAGTGGGGGAAGCACCGAGAAGCCACCGCCAGGGGAGATGCCGTGAATCAGGGGAGGGGGGTGGGGAAGACGCCGGAGCAGAAGAAGGCAGCCGAGGCGAAGGCGCTTGCGGCTGCGCAGGAAGTGCGCAAGAAGTCGATGGCAGCGACCAGGGAAGCCTTCAACACGTGGACGAGCAAGAGAGCCTCCCGGAAGGAGCAGCTACGGCTGTGGATTTTGCGCAACACGATGAATTTTTTGAGGAAATGGTTGGGCGGGCACGCTCAGGCGTGAGTGGGGAGGGTACGTATCTATATGTCGCGGTGTGTTGTAGTGTTGGTTTCTCGCGTTTAGGCGCGGTAGAGGCGTTCGTCATGGTCACCAACTCAACGCTATAGCTGTCTCTCTTGGTATCGGACTTGCTTAGAGAGAACGGATGTGATTGCTGCATGCTTTGTTTGCAGCACCTTCACCAGCCAGGGGTTGAGTAGAAAGTAAACGGCGGTATCGTATGAATGTATGTACATATGTAACGTGTAAATAATGTAAATATGGATTGACAACGGTTTAGCTGATGTTCTGAAGGCACATACGTGTGGAAGGGAGGGGTTGAGAGGGGGTCGTGGTGTACTTTGGGGGCTCCGTGGGGTCATGAGGGGGTGGGGGGGNAGATATCGACAGAGCTCGACGCCGCGGTCACGCCCAAAGTTGTTTCACTTTCCAAATCGTTTTTTTTTCGAAAGATATCGCGAAAAACAAGATTGTGAATATTTGCCCGAACGGACCATAGGAACAAGCGTGCGAGCTGGTTTCCTAAAACCTTTACGGGTGCTACAGAATATCCGAATGTGTGGAGGGTAACGAAGTATATGGTTTCATGCAGAAGGGATGGATGCGGCGTGATGGAGTATGTAGAGCGCGCATTGCAAGGCGTGCGGCAGTGAATGCGGGCACGCAGCCATGCCGGATGCACTGCACGAGGTGTGTTTCTTCATTGGTATGCAGCAGATGAAAATCCTTCGTGGAGAACAACAGGAAAACTCGCCGATCATCACCCCACCTTGATCTAGCTGCAGAGCACTGAGCAGTGGTTGGCTTTTGGCTCTCGCATTCTCCGTTACCTCCTTCCAATATCTCCCTCTCGTGATAACAGCCGCTTACAGTAGTAGTACCGCCGTGTGGTGATGTGCCACAGGCATGCAGTGTGTATGTAGCCTGCAGTCAGTGGCACGCCACTTGCCACCGGATGACCAACATGCGGAGGAATTAAAATGCCCATGAAAAAGGAGTCATTGGCCCAACCACACACTCCCCTTTCTAAAACGTCCATCCGCGGAGCTCCCACAGGGCGAGCCCAAGGAGCACACACCCAACAGCCAAGCAAGGCATAAAGACACAAGGAGAGCACATTGATCTGCCACGGCTCACAAGACAGCAGCTCTGTAGTCCCATCGTACCACCGCGGCCCAACCGATCTTCCGAAACCAACCCCTTTCCCTTCCTCAGTGACTCAGAGGAGACTCAGAGAGAGGGACACACAGAAGGCATCGTCAGCAGGAGGGCGTCTGAAAGGCACTTGCCAAGATGGGAGGGGATGGAGGAGTTATCGCGGCGAAGCGGGAGTATATGCAGTCATGCGGGGACGTGTTTGGAATGAAGGGGGGCATGGCCAAGACAGCCCTGAACCGCACCGAGACCGCCGAGCTTCGCACTAAGGTAAGGGAAAGAGAGAGAAACAGAGAGCCGGACCGAGACGCAGGCAGACAGACAGACGACATCGGGATACGACGATACGCCGACCAACCTGTTGTGCAAGCCCTTGCATCGTCAACCGTGCGGTCGAGCAGCAACAGCAGCACTTTATCAATTCAGGGGCGCTTCAAGCATAATGGGTATCTTTACTCGCCATCGTGAATGCTGTGCTAGCGGGTAGCGGCCTATCTGCAGCGGCATGTCTTTTTAGGGGCAACGTTGATTTTTTTATTTTTTCGGTGTCTTCATTTTCGAAGGTATCTTGTTGACAGCTTGCTCTGATGCAGCAATCCAAGCCAAAAGGCCCGAAGGTACACAAGCTCGTGACATCAACGATTACTTTTGCACAAAAGTGTTCTTTAGCCGGTGTTACAAATCCTCATCGCCCAACACACGAACGGGTGCTGTAGTCGGCGGGCCCGCGCACCGCGCACGCGGTAGACGGGGCCTGTGGTTGGTAGTACCTTCCCCCCTTCACTTGCGGGCTGGAGAAGGACTCCCCCATGTGGCTGTGGGTATTGCTTGTCTCTTGCAGCACTTTTAGTTGGCAACAGGCACAGACGGCGTGGGCAGGGGGGCACCGAATGCCACCTGGTCGGATTCGCCACATCGCCGGGCAGGCATGTGTCTGCGCCAACTTCCTCCCCCCCTCTCTTTTCTCTCCGTTGTTTTGGTAGTTTCTCGGCTGATGTAACCCTGGGCAGCCGAATTGCAGGCTACAAAGTTCTGTCCCTGTACCCTAAGATACGTTTCCCCTAAACCTCACGCCTCGTGTTGGGTTGGTGTTGGTAGGTGTGTGCAATAAGCAACGAGGTCCTCCGAGAACCGGTGGCCGCGTGCGAGTTGGGATACCTCTACAACAAGGTGAGGAGCAATTCTCCGGGCAGCATTTTAAGATGATGATTGTATTTGACTTTCGAGTTCTATCGCCGGGTGAGACTTTCAAAACCTATTTACAACGCAGTTTGGTGTCAGTGGGATGCCTTTGTGTCGGATTATGAAATTGTCGTCCGCAGCAGAGGCTAGCGGAGGAGTCTAGGCTACCCGTCGTTGATTTCTACCTTGGGTTGCGGACGGACCCCTCGGGTCCATGTTGTTCTGGGGTACCTTTCTAAGGGTACGTTGGCCTGTGACCACACGAGTACTGACCGCGTCAAGTGTTAGATCAGTACAGACATAAGGGGATATTGGATAGAAATCTGAACGGCGTTTAGGTGGAGGCAGCATCAACAACAACACGCTTGTCCGGGGATTCCGTTTGTGTGGCAAGGTTGGGGAGGTACCTGTGACAAGGTTGAAAAGGTACTTGCATGTGTTTCGATTTCGTTTCGCGTAGCCGGAATCACTTGATCAAGAAAGAGCGAACATACCCGGGGTGCGTTTCTTTTTTCTTATCAGATTTATTTCCCGCCCAAGCGATCGTCGGCGACAGGCAGCTTGTGTGTGTTTAGTTTTCGCCTTCCCCGTTCCAGACCTTAGTCACCGAGAAATATTCGCTAAACGTGATCCAGCTCCCGATCAGCACAAACCGATCCCTGGATGTGGATAACATCTCGGGCACCCTTCTTTGTTGCCCGATTTCCGCTTTTTCTCGCACCCAACCGTTGCTTGTCTTCCAGGATGTCTTGATTTCCGGGCTGCTGAACCGTGACCTCAACCCTGCATTCAACCACATCCGCGGCCTGAAGGACATCGTCGAGTGCAAGTGAGATACTGCTGTATTGCCGAGTTTGGCAAGGTCCTTCGTTTGTTTTTGTGTCAGCAGAGCAGAGTAGAAGGATGGACTTACACCATGCGCAGAATCCCGAAAAACCACCAAATTCCTCCAGCTGAAATGTGTAATTTACGCCGGTGCATTCGCTACCATCGAAAAATCGAAAAATCGACAACGTCGTGTCGGTAGATTAATTTTGTATCGGCAAGCTATGCAGAGTTCCCCGATGCTTGTTGTTCGCGTGTACTTGTGGTTGTCTCAGTTGGACGCTTGCCTCCTCGATGGCGTCGCCAAGCACAAGAACATCCTGAAGCACAATGTGGTTGCGTTTCCTCTAGTGGAAGTGTATGATAGAGCTAGCTCATGGTCAACATGAGAACGACGCACTTTGCACGACAAGGGCTGCAGAAGTTTTCCCCTTGATGAAAGTCATTTTTATATAGTGTTTTTGTGCGCGTCGGTGAAGCTGTGCGTATACCTAACCCGAACCCTTTGTCGATTCAAATCATCGGTGTCCTTTAACAGGTTAACACCGAACCCCTCTTTCGAAAAGGAGGGCCGGGCGTTTGACGGACCCGAACCGGCCCGTTTCATGTGTCCGGTTACTCTCCAAGAGATGAACGGCTCTCACGCGTTTGTGGTACTCATGAGCACGGGCTGGGTTATATCGGAAAAGGCGGCCAAGGAGGTCGGCATTGCTGGACTCCAGGTGATTGTTTGCAGTGCTTTGGACGGACTCAACGGACCTCCTCACACAGATCTATCTCAAGGTTATTGGAAGGGTGACCTTGACACTAGCGATGGGCGCACGGCAACCATGGTTGGCGCAAGTTGAGTTTTCGAGGGCGAAATGTTTCCCTGTGTGATACTTCATTTAGCAGAGGGCACCACCGTTGTGCTGGCCGCAAATTCTTCATGCTTCATACGTGAACCTATTCTACCTGAGTATCCTTCGAAAGACCTTAACGCTGAGGTACGACAAGGTTGCGGAACACGTAGTTGCAGCGCGTGTGAATTGGTGCAAGTTGCGCATGTCTGAGGGCATGGCACCCGAAGTTTGTCATTTGCGGGGCGTTTCGTTTGCACAGTAGTTATCTCCCGTGAGGGGTTTGTTCCTCCAGACATCATGTTCCGGAGTCAATGCTACGGCTCAGATATGACAAAAACAAACAAACAAATGCGTGCGCAACATATGCCCAGTATGAAGGAGAAGAGCCTCCCCACAGTCTGGGAGCATCAGTAGTTTTGCTGTGCACATTGGCAAGGCCATGTCGTGACTGCGTTCGCAAGGCCTCAAGCCCTCTGAATGCTGTATGGGCCCAATACCTGTAGGAGAAGGCAAAGTAGCCTGGCTCAAGTGTTGTTGATGCTCTCATGCCCGCGTATTCAGGAGGAATACGGTCCCTTTACCGAGGACGACATCGTCGGACTGGCACCGACCGACGAGGAACGCGAAACCCGGACGAGGCAGCTCATCGCCAAGAGGGAGAAGGCACGACTCGCCAAAAAGTCTTCTAAGAAGAGTGCAAGACGAGAAAAAAACGCCGCCTCCGCTAAGGCGGGCGCAACCAAGTCATCTTCTCCACCTCCCTCTGCCGGTGCGGGTGTGGTTGGAGACCAACCTAGCAGACCAAGCGCATCCACGGGCGACGAGGCGCAAGGGGATGCGGCAGGTGGGGAGGGCAAGAAGGGCAAGAAGAGAAGACGAGCGCTAGAGAAGGAGGCGGCATCGGCGGCGGCCGTCGCCTCTAACGGAGCCAGCGCAGGGCCGAACTCCGCAAGACTCGCAGGCGCCGCGGCGGAGGCGGTGAAGAAAAACAAAGAAGCGAGCAAGGTGTATGCGTCACTGTTCGGAAAGAAGGACGTTTCGAATGAACATCTATTCATTGCTACGGCGGGACACCGGTACAATCTCGGGTAGCCGACTCAATTATCAGGTCGGATTGTATGTGAATGGTCAAGGCCGGGTGTTGGTGTGAGTTCGTACCGTTGGAGTGATTTCATTGGTCGCTGTTGCCGTATTCCGCACGGTGTTTGCTTCACCAACGTTTGGCATCATAACACCATTGAAGAGAATAGAAAATGGGAAGTATGTAGATCAGGGTTAGGAGAAAACGTGTGCACGACATGGCGGTAAGGGCGGCGGCCCAAAATTCGAGTTGGACCGAACTTGCCGGGGCTGAATTGAGAGTATGTATGCCGTCTCAGTGCACAATGTATTCCAAGGAGCATGCAAAAGATCCCCGGCTGGTTTGTGAACAAATAAGGACGACCAGAGCCCATCCACCTAAATGAGAAATCTGATGCTCAACATCATCGAGTTGGGCTGGGCATACACGCGTGGTCGCTTTGGCTCAACTATTTAGCGTGTGCTACATCATGCAGCAGGTCTAACTTCTTCTCCCGCGCTTGCAAGCCGACAGGTGGTTTTTCGGCCAGTCCGACAATCCAACTCAGCTGGTACTGGACAGAGAAGTTACCTCTGCTTGTTGCGTGATCGTTCGGTGGGCAAAGTTGCTGACGAGAAATTTGTGTTATTTCCTCTGCCCCCCGTTCACGTATCTCCTGAAATATTTACACGAGACCCGCTCAGCACATGGATACACTTGTTCCGCACAATTCTAGCTATCGAACCCGTAACTCTCACCCCCTGGCCCACGTTTCCGTTCAAATTGCTTGTGACTTCGGACATCACAACAATTTGAACGGCAGCAAGGATTGAATCGCTATTTTTTGGTGGACGAAACGAACCTTGCAAGATCTAACTTAA